CAGCCACAGACCACAAGGCAGTGGATCAGCCACAGACCACAAGGCAGTCAATTAGCCACAGACCACAAGGCAGTAAATCAGTCACAGACCACAAGGCAGTCAATCAATCAGTCACAAGGCAGTCACAAGGGCAGTCAATCAGTCACAGACCACAAGGCAGTCGATCAGTCACAGACCACAAGGCAGTCAATCAGTCACAGACCACAAGGCAGTGGATCAGTCACAGACCACAAGGCAGTCGATCAGTCACAGACCACAAGGCAGTCAATCAGTCACAGACCACAAGGCAGTGGATCAGTCACAGACCACAAGGCAGTGGATCAGTCACAGACCACAAGGCAGTCAATCAGTCACAGACCACAAGGCAGTCAATCAGCCACAGACCACAAGGCAGTCAATCAGCCACAGACCACAAGGCAGTCAATCAGCCGCAGACCACAAGGCAGTCAATCAGCCACAGACCACAAGGCAGTGGATCAGTCACAGACCACAAGGCAGTGGATCAGTCACAGACCACAAGGCAGTCAATCAGTCACAGACCACAAGGCAGTCAATCAGCCACAGACCACAAGGCAGTCAATCAGCCACAGACCACAAGGCAGTCAATCAGCCGCAGACCACAAGGCAGTCAATCAGCCACAGACCACAAGGCAGTCAATCAGTCACAGACCACAAGGCAGTGGATCAGTCACAGACCACAAGGCAGTGGATCAGTCACAGACCACAAGGCAGTCAATCAGTCACAGACCACAAGGCAGTCAATCAGCCACAGACCACAAGGCAGTCAATCAGTCACAGACCACAAGGCAGTCAATCAGTCACAGACCACAAGGCAGTCAATCAGCCACAGACCACAAGGCAGTCAATCAGTCACAGACCACAAGGCAGTCAATCAGCCACAGACCACAAGGCAGTCAATCAGTCACAGACCACAAGGCAGTCAGCAAGACCACAAGGCAGTCAATCAGCCACAGACCACAAGGCAGTCAATCAGCCACAGACCACAAGGCAGTCAATCAGCCACAGACCACAAGGCAGTCAATCAGCCACAGACCACAAGGCAGTCAATCAGCCACAGACCACAAGGCAGTCAATCAGCCACAGACCACAAAGCAGTCAATCAGCCACAGACCACAAGGCAGTCAATCAGCCACAGACCACAAGGCAGTCAATCAGCCACAGATCACAAGGCAGTCAATCAGTCACAGACCACAAGGCAGTCGATCAGTCACAGACCACAAGGCAGTCAATCAGTCACAGACCACAAGGCAGTGGATCAGTCACAGACCACAAGGCAGTCAATCAGCCACAGACCACAAGGCAGTCAATCAGCCACAGACCACAAGGCAGTCAATCAGCCACAGACCACAAAGCAGTCAATCAGTAACAGACCACAAGGCAGATCAAGAAGATTGTAGAGAGATAATATCCAAGCAGACCTGCAAACACATGCAGTCACTAACAGGAAAGAGAGGGTGTCACAGACTTGAATGGAGGGCCAGTGATATCTGCAGCAATGAACCTCCAGGGTTCAGAAAGCTAAAGAAGAAGGAAGATGTGCCAAGTATTTTTGCTGCTCATTCTTTCTCTTGACCTTGATGTTACGGTTTGACCAGGACTCTGGAAACAGCTCTTTCAAACATGCTGATATCTCAGACAAATGGCCTCCATCTTCAAGAGCTAGATACAGGCAGACACTGGAAAGCTCAACCCTGACCCACACAGGACTGCAGGTGACACCAGGCTGGTGTGCCTAATTATGGCTGCTCTAATTATAACTTCTCTGGAGGTTGAACCGGGGAATCGTGAATCTGCTTTGTTAGTCTGCTGACCAGAGATTATTTAAATCTTACGATAAGGTAAACCTTTAGATTGTAGCCCAGAGGGGACAACGCAATTGATCGGATTGGAAATGTCGGCAACGTGATGATGATGCTGAATCGGTGTGTTTGTATTAGATGACACAAACATCAACTCAAGGTGAGACCACACAGATTGACTACGAGATAAGCCGTGACGACTTAGCTGTACTCAGCTGTACGCTTGACCGAATTCACGAGCAGCCCGAAGTCAGAGTGAACACTGTAAGGTAACAAAAGGGCTGCTCAGTGAACGATCGAGGGAGATTTTTGTACGACTTTGTGATAGGGACATTGTATAACGGACTGTTAGAATATAGAATGTTATTGACCAGTTTAGTGACCGTCAGCCATGTATTTCGATTAGGTCGAAGATGTAATTTGTATTGTACAGTATTTGACAAAGTTATCCAGTCTTGTAGCGTTAGTGTGTGGGTAGGAATTTTTCATGCAGATTCTCTTGAAAGGAGTTGTTCAAAAAGACTGTAATGCATCAGTAGTGGCGTCAACATCTGCCAGCACACATTTGGCCATTTACTCTGTGTACGCCTCAGAATTCTTGTGTCAGGAACAGCTGCTTTGGACAGCGCTGTATGAGAGTGATATGGGTTCAAGCCCTATGCTTTTTCATGGGAATGGGCAGACCTGACAAGTGATTGTAAAACTGACACAGCCTGCATTTCAAATAAGAGGCACCTGTAGTTCTTGAGGCTTACTTCCATAGTTTGAATGCTCTTTGTATATTACAGATCTTGTGTGTGCTCCATATATGTCCGCTTGGTGTGGCTTTAAGCAGATTTATCTGTTGCCGGCCTGCCACATGAGCTATATGCATTATACAATAAATAATGTCGTTGACAGCCAGTCAGAGGGATGCATGGAGGCAGGTGATATCTGCAGTGATAAATCTCAAGTATTTGAAATGTTGAAAAAACGTAAAAGAACTTTACCAGCTAGATGGGCTAAATGGTCGTGGTGGCACAGCTACTGGTGGGGCCTCTCATGTCAAGGGATAAAGACCAGACAAACAGTGTTTGTACATAACTACTGCAATGCAGATAGGCAGAGGAAAGTCAAAGGCTTCTTCCAATATTCTATGCCAATCAACATTAGTAGTCATGTCTAACCACAACCTTCTGTCTCGTGTACTTTCAATCAGTTATCAAACAGCTGCCCATGCCATGATGTCAAACTGTCTCCCTCTGCCTCTCTTCTCCTCCAACTTTCTCACCATCACGAAGTACTTCACCTTTCTCCTTCTCATGACATGACCAAAGAACGTAAGTTGTCTCCTTTGGATGCAGTGATACAGTTCTCTTCATTAGTTAATTTCTTTCAAGACATCTCCACTCTCCACTACTCTTTTTACCTGTCAAGGTATTCTTCAAGTTTGTCTATAAAACCCTATCTCCACCACTTCCAAATAACTGTTCACTAATTGTCCAAATGTCCATAATTTATTTCCATATATCAGGATAGGATTGATATAGCTCTTGAGAATTCTTTCTCAGTTAAAGGCCAGGGAAATCAAACCTGAAATGACTAAGCCACAGGTTTGATGAAACAGTCCAATGTAACCGGCTTTGGGAGGAAGATGAGAGAAAACACTGGACACTGAAAACATCATTTCTCAGATTAGAGAGACTGACATGCCAGGTGGGATTAGATCCGTCTTCTGAAAATTGCAACTAACTTAGTATATGAGCAGTCGATGAGAGAGAGAGGGAAGGGGGGGGGGGGGAGAGACAGAGGGAGAGATATAGAAAGTGAGGGTTAGAGTAAAGAGATATACAGAGTGACAGATGGAAAAAAAAGCATGAGAGGGAGAGAGATGGAGGAAGCCGGAGAAAGGAAGAGAAATGGATACACATTTAAACTCATGAACTGATTCTCTGACACCCAAAGTAGAAGGGGAGATTAGTAAAAAGGAAAGTATTTCCACATCTCAGGAGGAAAGAGGAAAGACCAAACAAGGCTGAATGCCCCCTATACATCTCAAAACAAGACTCTAAGGACTTTTAAAACCCAAGGTAAAAAAGAACACAAAAAATAAGTTACATAAAAGTAGAAAAAAGAAAGAAAGAAAGAACGAAAGATTGAATGAACAAATAAATGAATGAGATGAGGGAGGATAATAACTAGACTAAAACAAGCAAACATGTATGAAACAACTATGTGTACCCTTACTGTAAAGTTGCTACATACTTCCCAAAACAGGAATAGTGGCATTTTCAGCACGTGACATGGGACTGCATGTCTGAGTCCCCACACAGATCAGCAGTATGTCGAATGGGCTGGAGTGAGGAGCTGCAACCAACAAGGGAGCTGCACTAGCAGAGGCTCTCTCACCTTTAGTCTTCACGTAGTAAAACCCCATCACAAAGTATATGGCTCTCCACAAGATAATAAAGGGCTTTCTGAGGCACCTACAATACATAAAAATGGCTGTACAATAGAACAAGGACAAGTTCTACACAAAAATTGCACTACAAAAGCCCCCCCCCCCCCCCCACCCCCCCCCCCCCCCCCCCCAAAGGTAAAATATAAGAAACAACTGGCTATATGACAGAATAAACAAATAGCTAAACCAGTGATCACCAAACTGTGCCCCGCAGTGCCCCGGGAGGCCGCAAGCTCTTCACAGGGGCGCCGCAAAATATTCAAAGACACACGAATTGTATTTTGTTTTATCTCTTACACAAAAATAGTCCTACTTTGTCTCAGGTTAGGGGACCATGAACAAATTTTAATTGAAAAAAAAAAAAAAGGCGCAGCAACTAAGAACAGTTTGAGAAACATTGGGCTAAACAATAAAACAAACATGGGGAGAAAGGGGGTGGGGAGTTGTGGATGAAAGAACAACACTGAACTGACTGTACAACAAAAAACAAGGAAAAATATACAACACTGAACTGACTGTACAACAAAAAAACAAGGAAAAATATCCAACACTGAACTGACTGTAAAACACAATAAGAAGGGAAAATATACAACACTGAACTGACTGTAAAACACAATAAGAAGGGAAAATATACAACACTGAACTGACTGTAAAACACAATAAGAAGGGAAAATATACAACACTGAACTGACTGTACAAACACAATAAGAAGGCAAAATATCTGGAGCACTGAACTCTAACTGTAAAACACAATAAGAAGGGAAAATATACAACACTGAACTGACTGTAAAACACAATAAGAAGGGAAAATATACAACACTGAACTGACTGTAAAACACAATAAGAAGGGAAAATATACAACACTGAACTGACTGTAAAACACAATAAGAAGGGAAACCTATACAGACATAAAACTGACTGTAAAAAACAATAAGAAGGGAAAAATATACAACACTGAACTGACTGTAAAACACAATAAGAAGGGAAAATATACAACACTGCATTGACTGGGGAAAACACAATAAGAAGGGAAAATATACAGCACTGAACTGACTGTAAAACACAATAAGAAGGGAAAATATACAACATAAAACTGACAGAGCAACACAATAAGAAGGGAAAATATACAACACTGAACTGACTGTAAAACACAATAAGAAGGGAAAATATACAACATAAAACTGACAGAGCAACACAATAAGAAGGGAAAATATACAACACTGAACTGACTGTAAAACACAATAAGAAGGGAAAATATACAACACTGAACTGACTGTAAAACACAATAAGAAGGGAAAATATACAACATAAAACTGACAGAGCAACACAATAAACAAGATGCTCATTATGAGTTTATTTTGTAGAAGCTTTGGCAGTGCACCCAATTGTTCTTTGTTGTTGCTTCCCACTGTGTGCCACAGAGCATCAGGCTAGGCAAAACTTTCTGGAGCAACATATCTAACAGGTAATGATATTATCAGCAGCTCCTAACACACACAGGGCATCAGTTTCAATCAAGGTTACACTTGGTACAATGGATCAAGAACAAGAAAATTACTACCATACTATAATATGTAAACAGTGAAGAAAACAAACTCATCAACAGTATCCTGTCTGGGAAACCTAATACTTAGTCAGAATATTATTACATTTTTAAAAAATGGACAGGGAAATTCTGGCTTCTGAAAGAAGACAAAAAGGTGGGCCAGCATTCAGAAGGACCAGCATTCAGGGGGACAGCATTCAGGGGGACCAGCATTCAGGGGGACCAGCATTCAGGGGGACAGCATTCAGGGGGCCAGCATTCAGGGGGACCAGCATTCAGGGGGACAGCATTCAGGGGGACAGCATTCAGGGGGACCAGCATTCAGGGGACCAGCATTCAGGGGGCCAGCATTCAGGGGGACAGCATTCAGGGGGACCAGCATTCAGGGGGACAGCATTCATAGGGGCCAGCATTCAGGGGGACCAGCATTCAGGGGGACAGCATTCAGGGGGGCCAGCATTCAGGGGGACAGCATTCAGGGGGGCCAGCATTCAGGTGGAGGTGGGCCAGCATTCAGGTGGGTATTAGAGATAACCAGACTAAGAAAATGCAAGAGACAGGGAGCTAGCAAAAGACTAAATCTTTCTGGCAGGGAATAATGGCATGTTGATCCACACACACACACACACAAAACAGAAAAGGAAATTAGTAACCATGGAAATGAAATGTCTGAGGAAAGGCTGCAGGAGTGACCAGAAAAGATCAAATTATGTCCTACATGAAATAGTCGCCAAAGAACATATAACTAAACCATAGAACAGATAACTAAATGACATACAAGGACAGCAAATAAATAGTCTGCCCACTGAGAGGCCATTCCATACAAGGCACACATCAAAAGAAAAGAGGAAAGTAGATCAAGAGGCAGACCAAGAACACATGAAAAGATAACATCAGAGAAACTATACAACAGAATAATATGTCTATAGTCCAGGCGACTAGAAAAGCAAGAACCAGGATGGTAGATCACCCTCAACACCCAAAACCGTAGCAGAGGAAGTGAAGAAGAAGAATGGGAGCCATTTTCTGCAAAATACCTGCAATGAAGAAACCATATTTGTTGACTCAAAACAACCAGGCAATGATGTCAAACTACCTACTTCCGCCACCCAGAAAGTGGTTTGCTTTGATCTGCTTCTGGTCGGCATGCCAGCCCAACCACCGCAAGGGACCAGGTTAGAAATGTAAGTATTAATACAAGCAGCAGGCGAAGGGGAGCCACAGTCAAGGACATCAACGCCACCTGTTGACAAGAGGAAAAGAGAGAGAGAGAGAGATTAGAAGACATCATCCAGTAATCGTAATGATAAAACAGCAGCAGTAATCAAGCAAAATAACATTAGAACAGCAAATTTACTCTGTACTCAGTCATAGAATACAATGATGGAAGGATCAACACTTAGTGTTATTTACCAGTGTAGTATTTCATGTAGGGGTACCATGATGAAAGCCTCAAAGCTTAGTGTAATCAATCAATAATATAGTGTCATTAATCAATTTAATATTTCATGTAGGGGTATCATGATGAAAGCCTCAAAGCTTAGTGTAATCAATCAATAATATAGTGTCATTAATCAAATTAATATTTCATGTAGGGATACCATGATGAAAGCCTCAAAGCTTAGTGTAATCAATCAATAATATAGTGTCATTAATCAATTTAATATTTCATGAGGGGTACCATGATGAAAGCCTCAAAGCTTAGTGTAATCAATCAATAATATAGTGTCATTAATCAATTTAATATTTCATACTGAGGTACCATGATATAAGACTCAAAACTAAGTGTAATCAATCTATAAAATAGCGTCATTAATCAATTTAATATTTCATGTAGGGGTACAATGATGAAAGCCTCAAAGCTTAGTGTAATCAATCAATAATATAGTGTCATTAATCAATTTTATATTTCATGCTGAGGTACCATGATATAAGACTCAAAACTAAGTGTAATCAATCTATAAAATAGCGTCATTAATCAATTTAATATTTCATGTAGGGGTACCATGATGAAAGCCTCAAAGCTTAGTGTAATCAATCAATAATATAGTGTCATTAATCAATTTTATATTTCATGCTGAGGTACCATGATATAAGACTCAAAACTAAGTGTAATCAATCTATAAAATAGCGTCATTAATCAATTTAATATTTCAGGCAGTGGAACCATGATGTAAGCCTCAATACTCAGCGTAATCAATCAATTATACGGTGTAATTCATCAACTGTATAGTGTAATTAATCAATCTAGTATGTAGTGTAGGGGTACCATGATGTAAGCATCAACACTCAATGTCAGCTACATTTATCTATCATGTTTTCTTAAAATGGTTTGTTTACCAATAACTCTATATAGGATTATCTATAATGTTTTCTTAAAATGGTTTGTTTACCAATAACTCTATATAGGATTATCTATAATGTTTTCTTGAAATGGTTTGTTTACCAATCTCTATATAGGATTATCTATAATGTTTTCTTGAAATGGTTTGTTTACCAATAACTCTATATAGGATTATCTGTACGTTTTCTTGAAGAGTTATTTCTTCTTTTTCTGCGTTAATCCAAAGATGAAGATAAGTTATGCCCGTTTACAAGATAGCTGTGATATTTGTGCCTTCTGGCTGACACATGCAACTTCTGCAGGTATTTGTTGCCTGGCATAGCCTTCTTGGATGTTTTTTACCTGTAGTTCAGTTGTCTCTAGGATTATCTACAATCAACTCAAAAGTGATTATTTACCTGTAGTTCAGTTGTCTGTAGGAATATCTATACTCGGCTCTAAAGTGATGTAGTTACCTGTAGTTCAGTTGTCTGTAGGATTATCTATACTCGACTCTAAAGTGATGTATTTACCTGTAGTTCAGTTGTCTGTATGATTATCTATACTCGGCTCTAAAGTGATGTAGTTACCTGTAGTTCAGTTGTCTGTAGGATTATCTATACTCAACTCTAAAGTTATGTATTTACCTGTAGTTCAGTTGTCTGTAGGATTATCTATACTCGACTCTAAAGTGATGTAGTTACCTGTAGTTCAGTTGTCTGTAGGATTATCTATACTCGGCTCTAAAGTGATGTAGTTACCTGTAGTTCAGTTGTCTGTAGGATTATCTACACTCGACTCTAAAGTGATTATTTACCTGTAGTTCAGTTGTCTGTAGGATTATCTATACTCGACTCTAAAGTGATGTAGTTACCTGTAGTTCAGTTGTCTGTAGGATTATCTATAATCGACTCAAAAGGGATTATTTACCTGTAGTTCAGTTGTCTGTAGGATTATCTATACTCGGCTCTAAAGTGATGTAGTTACCTGTAGTTCAGTCGTCTGTAGGATTATCTATACTCGACTCAAAAGTGATTATTTACCTGTAGTTCAGTTGTCTGTAGGATTATCTATACTCGGCTCTAAAGTGATGTAGTTACCTGTAGTTCAGTCGTCTGTAGGATTATCTATACTCGACTCTAAAGTGATGTAGTTACCTGTAGTTCAGTTGTCTGTAGGATTATCTATACTCGACTCTAAAGTGATTATTTACCTGTAGTTCAGTTGTCTGTAGGATTATCTATACTCGACTCTGATTATTTACCTGTAGTTCAGTTGTCTGTAGGATTATCTATAATCGACTCAAAAGTGATTATTTACCTGTAGTTCAGTTGTCTGTAGGATTATCTATACTCGGCTCTAAAGTGATGTAGTTACCTGTAGTTCAGTCGTCTGTAGGATTATCTATACTCGACTCAAAAGTGATTACTGCTCTATAATCTGCGGTTTCCAACAGCATTCATCAGCTAATGTGCCAACACCCCCTTCCCCCCTTTTTTTTCACAATAACAAAATGCTTAGAAGAATCTTCTAATGTTGCCTTTGTTGATCTCTCCCCAAATCTGTCCAGTGGTCACACCATGTTCCAGTTTCCCTGTTTGTCCAGTGGTCACACCATGTTCCAGTTTCCCTGTTTATCCAGTGGTCACACCATGTTCCAGTTTCCCTTTTTGTCCAGTGGTCACACCATGTTCCAGTTTCCCTTTTTGTCCAGTGGTCACACCATGTTCCAGTATCCCTTTTTGTCCAGTGGTCACACCATGTTCCAGTTTCCCTGTTTGTCTAGTGGTCACACCATGTTCCAGTTTCCCTGTTTGTCCAGTGGTCACACCATGTTCCAGTTTCCTGCACAAAAGTCCAGTGGTCACACCATGTTCCAGTTTCCCTGTTTGTCCAGTGGTCACACCATGTTCCAGTTTCCCTGTTTGTCCAGTGGTCACACCATGTTCCAGTTTCCCTGTTTGTCCAGTGGTCACACCATGTTCCAGTTTCCCCGTTTGTCCAGTGGTCACACCATGTTCCAGTTTCCCTGTTTGTCCAGTGGTCACACCATGTTCCAGTTTCCCCGTTTGTCCAGTGGTCACACCATGTTCCAGTTTCCCTGTTTGTCCAGTGGCCACACCATGTTCCAGTTTCCCTGTTTGTCCAGTGGTCACAACATGTTCCAGTTTCCCTGTTTGTCCAGTGGTCACACCATGTTCCAGTTTCCCTGTTTGTCCAGTGGTCACACCATGTTCCAGTTTCCCTGTTTATCCAGTGGTCACACCATGTTCCAGTTTCCCTGTTTGTCCAGTGGTCACACCATGTTCCAGTTTTGAATGTTTGTCCAGTGGTCACACCATGTTCCAGTTTCCCTGTTTGTCCAGTGGTCACACCATGTTCCAGTTTCCCTGTTTTGTCCAGTGGTCACACCATGTTCCAGTTTCCCTGTTTGTCCAGTGGTCCACCATGTTCCAGTTTCCCTGTTTGTCCAGTGGTCACACCATGTTCCAGTTTTTTTTTTGTCCAGTGGTCACACCATGTTCCAGTTTCCCTGTTTGTCCAGTGGCCACACCATGTTCCAGTTTCCCTGTTTGTCCAGTGGTCACACCATGTTCCAGTTTCCCTGTTTGTCCAGTGGTCACAACATGTTCCAGTTTCCCTGTTTGTCCAGTGGTCACACCATGTTCCAGTTTCCCTGTTTGTCCAGTGGTCACACCATGTTCCAGTTTCCCTGTTTGTCCAGTGGTCACACCATGTTCCAGTTTCCCTGTTTGTCCAGTGGTCACAACATGTTCCAGTTTCCCTGTTTGCATAACATGGTAAACAAAAATGATGACTGTCTCTTGCTGATGAGCTTTCTTCTTAAAAACAGCCTGGTTACAAACACATGAAAGGTGGCATGTGCGCCGATCAGAACAAAGCAACTGCTAGAAGGAAAGAAGGAACCTCAGGTCCTCAGAAGAAGTTCCATAGGTGTTCAGACACCAGGTTGTGTTTAGATTGGTTTAGGTGACAGATCAACATCATGGCAAAAGAGTAGTAGCCCATTAGTGCTCGGTTCTACTTCTGACTCAAGCCTGAGACGGAAGAATCTCAGCACAGTGCACAAACTCCATAGCACCAGTAAGGATGCTGAAATACTTTGAGTAGATTTTCAATCCAAATTTTGCCCGGGCAGTGCCACTAGGGCGCTCTTTTTTTATTTCCAGCTGTCAGGGGATTTTTTTGTAACGTGCGAAACAATAAACACGGGGTCCCCTCTTACTAAAGGGACATTCAGCACTCAAGGCGAACGATATGCCTCGAGACAACGTTGACACAGGTATTGTGCTTGAAGGAAATAGAAGGTTAGATACCATCTCCAAAGTTCTTTACCTGCTCACTGAACCATTTGATTATAGCTGTCATGAAAACCTTTTTATTGAGGCTGCACGCGCTCTTGAGTATTTGGCAACGACCCCCACAATCCTGAAACCTCCTTGCGCACCCCCACCCTTCCCAGGTTGGAGACCACTGATACACACACACATGCATTATGGCTTGAAAGACAATCTTTAAAAAATGTGTTCAGACTCAATGTACTGGGTATGTTCCAGTGAAGGCAATGGTTTGTACCAGCACAGTCAGCAGAACAGTCAACAGAACAGTTTCAGTATTAACAGTCAACAGAACAGTTTGAGTATTAACAGTCAACAAAACAAGTATCTGAAAGTAGGCAGCACAAAGAAGCACAACAGCTATTAAAACACTAGCCATACAATTAATTGGAAAGAACAAAACAACAATGAAAATGACTAACTTCAGCAGATACTTGCATGGCAGGCATATTCCTTTTAACTGAAAGAAATACAACAGCTACAACACAGACTCAAACATCAAGTTACCTGGTATAAAAAGATTAAAAATCAGTAATTAAAATACCATTATCAAGACTAACT